ATCAATGTAATTCTTATCATTACCACAGAAATAAGCCTGTGGTATTTTAGGAGTGATAAAAGTACAAATAATATTCACTTTGGCTTTTAACAGAGCAGTGGCAGACAACATGTAAAAAAATCCTTTAAAAAAAGTCAGAAAGAGGCCAAATCTTCCAGTGCTGTCTGGGTTCCTGCAGCGAGGAAGCAGAAGCCATAAGGATTCACCCAAATGGCTCTGCACTTGACTGATGCACATGATTTTAACAGGCATGCTGCATTAGGGGATGAGATCAGAGGTTCCCTTCAGAACAGAGGCAGTTACTGGAGGCATTTTGTTTGTAGCAGAGAATGGCAGAAAAAAGCCTTTTAAGGTGATAGAGAGAGGGGATACAGCATACATGTCCTTCTTGTTAGCTTTGCACCATCAGGAATGCCCATTTTGGGGTGATGAGTCCAGCACTGGTACAACTTCCCATCAGCTTTCAACCAGGCAACAAATGCACCAAGTTTCTGGAAGGTTTTTGTGTAAACAAATAAAGGGGCTGGCAGACTCAAGTCTTCACCCCAACTTATAAACCTGCAAAAACCCTACATACCAGCCAGAACTTGGTTATTAGGTGCCAGCATTGAAGCTGCTTCTTTTCTTACACATGAACTATGAACACAGCCCTCCACAGTTTTACTGGTTGGTTTTTGTTATTTTTTTCTTCTTTAACTTGAATTAGCATTTTGCTTGTAAGGTACTGTTTTCACTTCTAATATGTAGATTGATCTGAGTGCACAAGGTGGTATCATCACCCTTAAGGGGCTAGAATAGATGACCTAATAACATCCTTGTCAGGCCTCCTTCCTTATGATCCTGATTTCAGGATAAAACTTCTTGTTAGTTAAGATGTGAATGACACCTGATTTAGTACCTTAAGTAGCCTACAGATTATTATGGCAGAAAGATGGCACTGGAACAGTGCATGAATATTTGTCTGCACTGCTTCTGCAGCAGTGATATGCCGAAATAAAACCTAAAAGGGAAAAGGGCCAGAATTTGGCCAATAATACTCAAAGGTCATTTTGTTTTATCGCAAGACAGGACTCCACCTATAATAAAAAATACATCAATTCTCTCCTTCATTTTCCCACACTAATGTATTATTGACTACAATGTACCAAACTTGCACTTGTAGTCTAACCCACTATTACAGCATCTTGTATCAGTACTTTAAACATTGCTTAACAAGAAAAATATGTCAATATACAATGAAAGCTTTCATTTATGTTTTCAAATTGAGCAAACTGCTGCAAGCCATGCTGTAAATTACCCCCAAGAATGTATAACTGGGCAAAAAGGAGAAGAAATTTTAATGACATCAGACGTGGCCGGATTCATAATTAGTAACACTTAACAATTTATTAAGATGATCTTTTCTCTATCCCAGTGACCCTTTCAGCTCTGAGCAATGTTTGCATATGTTGCCATAAATCATGTCTTAGATTTGTCAACAAGCTCTGCATACCTCTATTATTTGTGAAAATTACAAAGTGAACTTCTTGTTAAAAAATTTGTTGATAATGCATTACAGGGAGGGTGTGAGCAGTTTGATCTCAGCCGTGCTCCACCCAGTCTGCCCTGAAACTGAAAGAGGCCTTTAATTATTATATATGTAGAGGTCCATTGCTATAGCCAATGCTACTGACTGGTGGAGCCTTGCCAAACTGATCAAAAAGAAGTACTAATGCCAAGTTAGCACTCTGCCTAAAGCAACTGTCAAATAATGATAGATTAGACAACTCTGATTGCTCTATCAAAACATTCATCTCAAATCTTGATTAGTAAGCCTATTGAATTATGATTAATTCACAAGAGTGCTGCTGACAGATAAGGTACTTTATCTGACAATGTGTAGTAGTTGCTTTGCCTGAAGCAAAAAAGCTCTGAAGTTGGTAAAATAAACAGTATCAAGTATAACACACTGAGAAGGATAATGAGGCTACATGCACCTTTTAATTTAATAAAGGGCTGATCTGTGAGAACCTGGCCTCAGAAACAAAAACTACAGGAAATGAAGCTGGAGGACAGGGAAAGCATAGATGTATGTACTTGAAGAGGAGAGAAAGGCTATCAGCAAGAATGAGTAAAGTGATGGGTGGTGAGTAGAGTCCTCAATACTAAAAGCTGAATTTAGTGGAATTTGACAGAAGCAAATCCTGAAGCCAAACATTTCTTTTGGGAGAAGTTCTGATCCCAATTCCAATGCAGACTTGTTACACCTTATTGTTATTGAAAATGAAATAATGTGTTTATTGTTGTTTATTTTAGTGTTGCTTTTTAGGAACAGAAAAGGGTTGATCAGGAAATCTTTCCGTGACTCTTTTGTTTCTCATCTATCAGCTTGTTCTTGTATTTTCCACTTTAGTAATTTCAATTAGATATTTGCAATTGAATGGGAAAAATTAAAGAAATGCATAGATTTTTTTAATGGCATGTTATTACAATTTGCTATGAACTGTTGTCAAAACCAAAATTCAGTATAAGATCCTTACTCTTAAGGATAAGGCTGAACTGTATTGGATTCTATTCAGTTTTATTTAACATCCTTAGCCAATATCTGAATACTTGTACAGATCATTAGACCAGTACAAAATTACTTTCATTCAAAGCAATGTCAATAAAACTCTGGCATTGTAATATTCAGTTGTGATTTACTGAAGAACCCACCTTCCCAAAGTCACTTGTAAGGCTCTGAGAAGGCATTTATTAGCTTATCATGACCTAACAATTTTACAAAAACCTTAATGCACTATAATCATGTTTCTGCCCAGCCCGTATTAACCTTTCAGTGACTTTTCTTTTCTCTCTCCCTCTCATTTATTTATTTATTTTACCTAGCCTCTGTTAATCAATTGTGAACTGCAGATGGGGTCAAGGAAACCAACTTCCTTCTTTGATAGCCTCCAATGCTTCCACTCCTGGGGATAAAAATGCTTTAAATGGAGTTATATTCTAGGAAAATCAATATGTGATTACTGCAAAGATTTGTATCGATTGTCCTGTTGCATTGCAAAAAGGTTAAAGAAAAATTGCATGGCACATTTCCCTTCATTTTCTACTTCTTAGAACATGCAGCAAATATTTTGGCTAAGTGAAAAGTGTTGGAACTTGATTTTATAACCCAAACTTTTCTTCATTCAACCCAGTCAGTTACAGGTTTACTCTGAAATGGTTATTTTCCGTTAAGACATCTCTTTTATAATGTTTGACACTAGCATGCTGGTTGAGATCCCAAGAAACAATTACACTGTAGCAGCAACTAATAACTAACTGCACCAGAATGTTACATCTCCAAAACTAAAGATTTTGCTCTATGTTTTATCCTTCAATCACAGATGCTCACACTTTCTGGCATATAAACAACTGCTCATTTATGATCTGATCCTGTATGCAATGGAAAAGCACTGCATGATTTCAGTGATCTCTATGCCTGATGTGATTTCCACTGACAACAGCTGCAAGCTGTTATCCTATTGCAGTGGTTTTCAAACTCGAATACACGTGCCCCTGAACAGATGCAGTGCTTTGCCAAGGGGTACACCTGAAACTCAGCAATGATGCAATAATGGTGAATAATGGGGTTGCTGTGCATTGACATCAGTGTGATCAGAGATGTTTTGGGTGTAGAGGGTATAAGCAACAATATTTTGCAGGTAAAAGGTTACATGGCCTAAAAGTTTGAAAACTACTGTCCTATTGTGTACATAAAACCTAATTTGGATTGTTAGTTCACAAAAACTGTACAACAGTAAAAGAAAGAAATTGCATTAAAAAGAAGCGGGAGGGGGGAGACTTACTGAAGTCTAGCAACTATTCTAACTTGTCCTGGCTATCAAATGCTTCTAGTCTGGTCTATCAGCCATGACTAAGTCAGATATAGAGGTTTCCAGGATATTTCCCTCTCCTGGAAAACAAGAAGATGGGATGTTAGAGCTTCTACACTTGTTCTGTGACCCCTAGAAGGGAAATGCTCAAGTGGCTGGGCCAGGCAGCATTAAAGCAGCCTTACACCATCCCAACAGCCCAAAGCAGGTTAGGATTCTGCTAATACTGGTTAGCACTTCATCTGAAGCCAGATTTTCTTTGAATATATCTACTATTTTGCAAGATTGGACCAAATACCAAGACTACATTTTCTTGCAAACCACTTCCTTCAGTCTAATTACTGTTCATTATTTCTGTCATGCTTTCCAAGTATCACAGTATCATTTGTGTTCCTTGAATAATTAACTAGAACTTTTTTAACAGAACACACCCTCTGGCCGCTGCTGGTGTCCTGGGTAAGTTATTTCAACCCTTTGTGCCTCGGCTTCTTCTTCTGCAAAGTGGAGATGATAGTGACTTCCTTTGTGAATTTAAAAAGCACTATTCAATAGCCATGTGTTCTTATTAGTAGTGAATAGGAAATAATAAATAGCAGGCTTCTGAGACTAGGCTTTAGAGGAATAATCATTCCTGCTAAAAATTACAAATATATTCATGAATGCACAGAAGTGGTTTGAATACCACAACAAAGAAATAATATGACCCTAATAAATAATAGCTAACCAAAGTTATTTCTCTTATTTCTAAATTATATTTGGAAATCACTTAGTCCAGCTGTATTACCATGACTTTTTAAAAAGGGTTTGTTAGTTAATTCCCTTCAGACCTTAAGATGCATGTCATCCAGACCTGATGATTTGCACATGTTTAAAAGTTCCAAGTGTTCTTTTACTTTCATTTGATAAATATTTTTACTTTGGCTTCATTACTTCTCAATTGACTGAATGGCTTTTCCTATTTTTCTTGATAAAGAGATTTCTAAAAAATTGTAAATATCTCAGGATTTCTACAACCATCTTTAATTCCATGACCCACCTTCCAATACCAAATTAACTCTTTCTCCAGCATTCCTTTTACCATGAAATATAATTTGTTAAAATCTTCTATTCCCTTTAGCCCTTTTGACTAAAATTAGTTCTGTGCAGCTGTATTATTACTTTCATTCTCTTGTTGTAAACCTTCAATCTAATTTTTGCTTCTGCCTTCCATTTTCTATTTCTTTCTTTAGCCCTAACATATTTATAATTTTGAGACATTTCTAAGGAATATTGGCCTTTTTTTTCCCCCTACCTTTTTTCTATTTCAGAAGACTAGTATGTTATTGTGTCTTAATTATGAAGTAGAGTGTAGAATTATGCAGAATTCTCTAGCCTTTTCTCATATTGCTGATTTTAATATGCACTTCTACTACAGCACATATACTGGATTTATTAAATCCTGAGATTACATTTTCCATGTTAATTCTTCCTAAAGTTTGCACAATATAAACCTCATAAATCCAGATATCAAAAATCCAGAATTCTTGAAACTCTGGCACTTTTTAAAAATACACTATATTGGGGAGTAGTGGCAGTCAGTCCTGGAGCAGCGGAGGGGGAAGCTTGCATGCAGCAACTGCTGCTGCCATTCACCACCCTGTGTGCAGTTGCTGCTCCGGGACCAGGCACCACTACTCCCGTCCTCCCCCTGACTCCACAACTGGCCTCCTCTCTGGTTTCAAAAATCCAGAATTTTCAGATTTCTGGCAGATGCTCAGTCCCAAGCATGCTAAATTTATGAGGTTGTACTGTATAGACTAGAATGAGGTAACAGTGCTAGAAATACTGATTAGTTGACACAGTGAAGTTATTTATAAAAAGGACCAAGTTCACCACTCTAACACCACTAAACAATGTCACTAATACGTGTAACTTTTGTGGGTAAAAGGCAACACACAATCTGAATTAGGCTTTTAGGGACTGATTTGGGAGTTGCTACTTGCATAACACTAAAATATCTGACTTCAGTCTTATGCTCTGGTGGGAGACTATCATGAGTAAATACAAGTATTTTGCTGCTAGGTTATGATTGTTATTTATTGGGTAAGCAGTCATTTTGTATTGTTTTGTATAGCTGTATTTTTAACATTTGTCAAGGAGCGCCTAGAGCAAAGGATGGGCGTGCCTTTTTATGGAATGTGTGTATAAATTGACAGTAAATATATATGTGTACATAAATAAGTGGTGTCTGAACTCTTGTGAAAACCTGTCCCCTTATTTAGGTTTTTAAATGGGAGGTGTTGGCTGCTGCACTCCATTGAAAATTGGACCTTTAAGTGCACATCTGCCTACCCCTTCTGCTGTTATACAATCCTCAGGCAGCATTAAATTGTGTCACTTCTATCTCATGCAAGCAATGAGCAGGCCATTGTTAGACTGCCCCTGAAGCAACCCAGAAGAGAGATTAAGGGGAGAAACAAACATCACTAAATGAAGAGACTCAGCTGTGTCAGGATGTGTCCCAGCAAAGCAGATCCATTTCACTAGGTGAAACACAAGTCATCCATTGTCCCACTGCTGATGCTGCAGGACAATGGGCAACATGTTCTACTATGGCTTAAAGGGCCCAGTCCTGCACACCCCGGGAATACCTGTACAGGATCAGGTCCTGAAAGCCCATGGAGTGCCTGCCTAGCTTTCCCTGCTTATTAAGATGCACCCCAGAGATCCTGGGAAAGGCAATCTTGCCTGGGAATTCTTGGGATGCACAAGATCAGGTCCCTCAAGTCCCCAGCACACTTGCCCAGGACAGCTGGAGTGTATGGGTAGCTCTGGGCTGCCTGTGCTTTTCCACAATAAAATATTTGCTGCTGAACAGCAGCACAAATTGAGAACACCTTTGTGAGTTCAGCAGCGATTGGGGCCTCTGAGGACTTGTGGCAGAGCCCTCTGCACAGCGTGGGTCAGTGGGGGCAGCGGGGATCCCCCCCGTGCCTGGCACTCATGTGGCAGGTACCCCATGGCATGGGTGCAGCACTACTCAGCAGGGTGCCCTGCACCGTCTGGGAGTTGCGGTGGCTCTAGCAGTCAGCCGGAACCCAGCAGCACTTAGTTCCAGTGACCGCAGCTCCCAGGCAGTCCGCAGCGCCCTGCCAAGCTGTGCTACACTCATGCCATGGCGCAGCTGCCGCATGGGTGCCAAGCAGGTGGGGGGTGATCCCAACTGCCCCGCGATGCATGGGGGGGCTCTGCCATGAGCACCCAGAGGCCCCAATCACCACTCCTGCAGCCAGTGAGTACCGGGCCAGGCAGGGCAGCCATGAGGTCTTCTCCCATGGGGAGAGGCAGGCACAGCCGGAGAAGCCACAGGAGAACCTGCAGCCGCCTAGCTGTGCCTGCCTCTCCCCGGCCGATCTGAGTCACTGAATCTCTCCAAATCAGCACCAAATCTTCCAGAGCTGATCTGGCCAAATCAATTCAGAACAGTAATCGAAATCTCTGAATTGAATTACTGTCCTCCAAATTGGCTGAATCTGAATACTTCCCTATTCACACAGGCCTACTAAACAGAATATTATTTTGTACTAAAACCTGCTCACAAATATATACACACAACTCCACAGAAAGAGCTGTGAGTGCAGCTCTTTGGCATGAAGGCCAAACTTAGCTTCCCTTTGAAAGATTTGGTGCGGACTTCCACCAAGCAAAATTCACAATGAATAAGCTCAGTAAAGTAGGGATGCAACTGGGCATCCACAGCAAAATGGTAACAGCAACTTCTAGTCTGAAATTGCGAACACACTGCTGGCAGCAACAGCAACTTCTGTCGACCCTCCCCCCCAAGTTAGCACCTGGGGCAGCTTCCTTTTTCTCCCCCTTTATGCTGAATGAGCTAACATAAAGGAATAAACATTCCCTTATGCCCTGCAATGTGTCACCTGTGTCCCCTTCCCCCTCCCCTGCCCCCACAGACTTAACTGGAGGGAGCTGCAGGTGCTGCTCTCCACCAAGCTGCCTGGCAGCCTGCTAGGGGAAACCTGCACTTTCCTGGATTTTTCTCCTTAAAAGGGGAAAATCCATGTTTTTGTCCATTAAAGGAGAAAATCCATGTTTTTCTGTGTTTTTCCACAGCAAATGGAAAACCCAGATCCCTGCTGATGGCCAATCCAGTAGCTTGGCAGCACCACTCACTCCTGTTAGATTAGAAATCTGGAATTTGAAACAACTGTGAATCTCCTGAACCCCAAGAAAGTAAAGAAAAATATTACCTACAAAAAGAAAATAATTTGCTGTGAACTGAACTGTTGTTTTCATATCTTTCTCTCCCACACTCATGCCCTATGAGCAAATATTTAGGAAGTGCAATAACCGGCCCTGTTATATTCATCAGGTGCTTTCAGATATTTTATAGGATTCAATTGTCAGGTGGTTTATATTGTCATAGCTCCATTGAGTTCAGTGTAACTAGTTTATACCAGCTGAGAATCTGCTCCAAGGATGATATATCAAAGGCAAAATTTGTGAAAACAGATTATAGCATTCTAAGAAAGGGGTACAATCCTTATAATGGGATGACTCTTGAAATGACAACTCTATTTATTAAATGATTCTAATCATATTTGGATTCAGAGACTCTTACACCAAACAGGGCAATATCCAAAATGGTGCTCACGCATTCATAATACCAAAGTGCATTGTGACAATCACCTACAAACCTGAAATCAACCAGATGGTAGAAACGTAAGGTCACTGATCTTGACTCTGTAACCCAGGGAATTCTCTGTCATGTATGATGAACACCAATGACTAACTACAATGCTGAGAGAAAGGGAAAACCTGGTAGAATAAATGCAATGCATCTGCTCTAACCTCTTTAAGAGACATTTGACGAATCAGATGTCTAAAGAATTTCTTCTAGATAAGAAGAAAGTCAGAATAGTATACCTAATGAAACTAATGACAAACCTCACTGTAAAATACATTAAATGGAAAAAAGAATAATTCCTCAAACTAAGACAGTTTAGAGGTTTCATTTTAAACTTGCAATATTTCCAGGCAATTTTAAGAAAATACTCTGGCACTACTAAATAATACCAGCTAAAGCCCTATATTTAAGAATTTCAATCAAAGAAAAATATTCCTCATTTTAGTACTGTATCTCATAGAGGGTTAGTACCATTAAGTTAAAATGCAATAAAGAAACAATATGTGGGAATTCAGATCCCATTTATACTGTACGCATAATTGCTGTTCCTGTCTGATCTGTGACTAAAAAGAGGACATCATTCGATTTTCATTCATCGAACTGCAAACTGTATATTTTATTAAATAAACACAAACTAGGATATAATGGCATACATTTGTTTTCATTACAAGAGTAATGCAATATTTCTCTAAGGCTTGCTACATTAGCATTTCTCTCCATGTTCCAAATGCCTTTGAACTTTCTGAAAAGCTACATCTGTTAGTTCCCTTGTATACAGCAAAAAGTTACCAAGTGAATTAAGTTTTAATATAAATTGCTTTGTTCACTATTAAGATTGATGTTGGACACACTGTACCGTAAGTTGCAAACTGCAATTACAATTCACTGCAATTATCTCTGGTTGTTAATAGCACAAGATAGCATGTCACTTTCTACCAAGTGTATAATTTATCATTTGTTTTTTTTTCCATGAACTCTTGTGGTATTCCAAATGTATAATCTTGTTGTGTTTATTTCCCAGTGGTCCAACAAAATGCACAGCAAGTGCTGACTAGAACAAACTAAAAGGCAGTGCTATTGACAAGCCGTCACTTGTGCAGTAATGAACACTCTGCCTCTACTTTCACCTCACCAAACTAACAGCTTTAATTTATGATAAAGCAAACGAGAGACAACCTCCAGTTTTATTATACCCTCAGTGCTGTTTCAAATAAAGTAATTAGAAGGTCAAGAGACAGGTCTAGAAAGCCAAATATAAATGCAAGCCTTCTGCACCAACATTAAAAAAAAATCTTGAGTGTTCAAAGAGCATTTTATCCATCCTTCTTCTGCAAAGCAGTGTGAACCAGTTTTTACCACCGTAACCAATCTGAAACAGAGGTGGTTCAACTCTTTGCTCAGTAATTCAGTCCATACGTAATGTGAGTGGAGGACCTTGTAGACATCATCCTCAAGAGATATTTCAAAACAGGGCTCACCACCCCCTTCGTAAAATAAAGATACAGGTGATTCTGAAACATTTTTATTAAAGAAACTTTACACAATCGTAAGAGATGAAGTCTATTCTATTTGGTATACAAGGAACAACAATATCATAAGCTAATGCAAATAACATCTGAAGGATGAGTTGATGGGTGACAAAGTAAAAAAGATTGTATCTTTGAAAAGATTTATCAGCTTAAAAGAGGGACTATTCATACAATTGTTAATAAACCAGCTCTTCTTGAACGTTTGGACCAATGAAGTGTATTTGGTTAGAGCAGCATTTCCCAACTGGTGTGCCACGGCACACTGATATGCCGTCAGACATGAACAGGTACGCTGCAGAATTTGGGGGAGCCACGCCCCCACATCTGTCTGTGTGCATGGTTCCAGACAGTGATTCAAGCGCCACGCCACCCCCTCCACTCGCCACTCCGCATGCCATCCTTCCCTGCTTCTTGTTCAGTTGCGTACCATCCCTCCCCCCCGCATTAAGTCACATGCCATTCCCCCTCCCCCACGTGGCATCCAGTGTTCCGCGATTTTTTTGTATTTATGTAAGTGTACCACGGGATGGAAAAGGTTGGGAAATGCTGAGTAAGAGATGTTTACACCTACAAACTTTTAGTCATGCTAATGCATCTCTATTTTCTGAAAATGTCTCATAGCATCTTAGAAGCTAAACAAAATGATATTTAGGTTGGATACAGTATAACCAATACAACTAAGCAGGGTACCACTTTGTTATAACAAACCCCCTCCTTTCCTTGGACCAGGAGTAAAGTAGAGTAAAAAACAGTGTTTGCTATAATAGGGTATAGTAAGGTTAGTCAATTTGCTGCATCCTAATAATTAATTTTAAAAAAAATCAGTCGCTGCTGAATGGATTGTTATGAACAGGATTTGCTATAATGAGGTCATAATGTATTCTTACTAGGCAACCTCATACCTTAAAAAGACTGCACCAAAATTTCATATTTCATGGGACGAATCCAGATCCCATTTCACAGGATGAAATATGAGCTTTCATTTCTACCCAGAAGAACTCTTACCATTTTTTCTCCAATGTCTGATAAATGGTGTTTGTGCCCCAAAACTTGCAAATAAAGATTTTTTTTTGCAAAAATCTAGTTGGTTTAATAAAAGATATCACCTCTACCATGAGCCCTGATTGCTTTTTACTCTAGACCAATAGGGCTACAACTGGATACCTGACACATGAATATGCTCAGGCACAGGAAAGATTTCTTTTCCTCTTGAGTATAAATTACCTTGCTTTGATAGGAATGTCTCCCATGCTTAATGGTCTTTCAATTAAGGTTTTGTTGTTTAATTTTTTGAAAACTATTTTTGCACTATCATGGTGTGTTCTTGTAGTTAGTGTAATTACACTTAATGACAAGAGGAGCATAAATATACATAATCATATAACTGAAACACATAATTATTTTGAAAAGGCCCTTATGGATCTGTTAAAGAAAAAAACAATATCCTGCATGTATATGTTAGATGATTTTTAGAGTTGAGCTACCTTTCCATTTGCTTTTGCAAAATGCTCAAAGGGATTCACTCAAGTGGTTTTGTGGCTGGAACCATTCGAAACCATGTTCCTTTTACTAAATCATTCTAACTGGGCTCCATCTTCCCTTTTCCATTACTGCCAATGAGGTATATATATAATCTATAAATCTATAATTTAGATATATATATATCTCTATATATTTATATCTAAATATCTATATACAGATATATAATATATTAACCAAGAGGGAGGTCTGTACTCCAGCTCTGACTGTGTTGCAGGTGAATAGCTTTGACCCACATATGCTCTTCCACCAGTTCCTGCTACCTCTTTCACTTCTCCCACTAAAGGTATTCTGCCCCAGTTTAGCTTTCTTGGGCAGGGGCAGGGGGAGGGGGAGGGGGA